GGAAGTTAGGGTGGGGGCTTGGAACGTCCGTTCTTTGCGTCAGGATGATCGGTTGCCTCTACTGTCGAGGGAACTGGGGAGGCTGAGAGTTGAGGTGGCTGCTCTCTCGGAGGTGAGGAGGCCTGGCAGCGGCATGACCTGTGTAGGTGGCTACACCTATTACTGGTCGGGCCGCAGCGATGGCCACCATCTCCAGGGAGTAGCCATTGCCATCTCCAGCAGACTCCAGCCCTCGGTAGTAGAGGTTACTCCTGTTGATGAGCGTATAATGGTATTGAGATTGAAGCTATCTTTTGGCTTCATGTCTCTTATTGCTGTGTACGCTCCTACCGATGTTTGTAAACTTGACGTGAAAGAGATGTTCTACGCCAAACTTACATCTGTGGTAGACAGATGTCCCCGACGAGATATTCGCATTGTTCTGGGCGACTTCAATGCGGTATCTGGCTGTGATCGAGCTGGCTATGAGATGTCTGTCGGTCCCCATGGTTCAGGAGCTGATGCCGGTAGCGAGAATAGCCTCCTTTTCCGGGACTTTGCTAGGTCCCAGAAATTGAGGATTTCTGGCTCCTGGTACCAGCGCCCAGACCCACATCGCTGGACATGGTACAGTGATGCGGGTAATGCACAGCAGCCAAGGAGATCGACCACATACTTGTTAGCACTCGTTGGAGGATCCTTCAGAATTGCAGGGTGTACAGGAGTGCTGAGTTCTGTGGTACTGACCATAGATTGGTTGTGGCTACCTCCGGGTCCACTTCAAAACCCCCAGCGGTCAAATGATCACCCTAGGGTGTTTCATTTGGACAGGCTGAGGGAGGGGGAGTGTGCCCGCGGGTTTGCTGAGGCAATCTCTGATCGTTTCGCAGTGCTTGGCAGTCTGACAGACCCTGTTCTTCTGTGGGATACCTTTAAGCGTGAAACGCTTGATGCAGCTCAAGATACGATTGGTGTACGCCCGAGAGCAGTACAGAATTCCATCTCGCAGGAGACACTGGAAGCCACAGATGCATGTCGTGCGGCTCGTCTGACAGGGGATCGGGAATTGCACCGTTCTCATGTGCGCAGAACTCGGTCCCTGTTAAGAAGGGACAAGGAACAGTTTATTAGGAGTCTTGCAGAGGAGGTAGAAGGCCATTTCTTAGTAAATGACCTTCGTCCTGCATACCAAGCCCTGAGAAAGCTGAACTCCAAGCCCTCTTCACAGGTGACAGCAGTTCGCTCAGTAAGTGGTCAGATCGTTTCAGATCCTGTTGCGGTGCGGGAACGTTGGGCTGAGTATTTTGAGCAGCTGTACCAGGTTGACCCACCAACAGTTAACTTGGATGCGGGTAGTGTCGAGATCCCGCTGCCGGATCCACCTATCAGTGAGGACCCTCCCTCCCTAACTGAAGTTAGGGGGGCGATTTCCAAGCTGAAGAGTGTGGTAAAGCAGCTGGTATCTGCGGCATACCAGCTGAACTGTTAAAGGCTGGTGGTGAACCTATGGCACGGGGGTTACATGCTGTCCTGGCTGCCATCTGGCAGTCCGGTTCCGTTCCTCCTGAGCTGCAGCTGTGATTGACATGTATTTCTCATCATATTATGTTTATTAGTTACAGGAATAACATCTATCATTAGTAGTATCCTCTTACTGTGTGATGAGGGCGCATCGGGTATGGTGTCACATCGAGTCAGGAGACACCTGGCCTCTCACTCTGACTCTTTCATGTTGACTGTCTGCTTTGTCTCTTAGTTGTGGCTATCAGCTGATTCAGAAGTAGAATTGCCAGCTAGCTTTCAGAGAATACCAAAATAAATAGGGAAAAAAAAAAAAAAAATTGTTGAGTGTATTTGCTTGGATGCGACAAAGTGAACATTGGAACCGGAGGTGGGGGGGGGGGTCAGAGATTTAGTCATAACTCCATTATTTTTACGTATTTAGCAGAAGTATTGCATCACAGGATTACCAAAGCCTAATAGATTACAGGAGATTCCCCCCCCCCCCAATTTTTGAGTATTTTAAAAAATATTTGTTGAAAATTCATTGTTTATTGGTGCACATCAACAGTTTCCCCTATTGCCGCCCAGTTTGTTTGGTAGTTTGCGGGCAACATTAGGCACATAAGAGCTTGTGTTTTGATACAATTTTTAAAAATATCAAATTTTTGAAGGTTTACCTTCACTTAAGGTGCTATTGCCTAAAAGTTTTAGTAAAGAAATTATGCTACTTCCTACTCTGTCTGATGAGCAGACAGAGTAGGAAGATTTGTTTGTCCACAACAGCCATGGCATGTACGGACATGCCAGGCAGCAGGAAGTGGTTAAGGTGTATTTTTGATGGCAAGATATTTCAAGATTTCTTGAAATATCTAGAAACTTGTGCTTGTGATGGAACATGGTCAGACATCTTGGTCTGGTTTCATAACCGAACAAAGCATTTTCAAACTTTTTACAGTTTCATGATCTCACTATAGTAAAAAACCCTGCCAATATGACCAACAGAAATGGGTGATAATGATGAAATTCTCTTGATAATTTACTTATTTTGTCACCAATTGTATCTGTGCCAACCAGAAGTATTAACAGGAGTATATAGAGAGCTTTATTATTCTGTAGAAGAAAGGTACTAGATATATGTATTTGTCATATGGCTATTCTGGGATGTTCAGTGTGTCTTTATTTACCTTTGTTATTGCCTTTCAAACTCGCAGTTTGAAAGACCTATCTTTGCTCTGAATAGTAGATATTTTCATTTTAAATTGTTTCTTTAAAGGGCGTCAACGATTTTTATCATAATGTTTGTGCTACATAATAATTAAAGTATTTTTTGAAATTCTTATTTTGTTTATCTTTAGTTAATGCAAAACCAAGGTAAGGAAAGATTTCTTTGTAATCAGTTATTTCACTATTCATTACTAACAGCATCTAGTCAGTTTTCTTCCACGAGTAATGTCACCTACCATGAAGGGGAATGAGTCTTCTCATATTGTGGGAGTTTGTGTACATCAATAGGAAGCTGGATGTTAGAAACGTTTTTTGATGAATTCAGGAAGGCGGAGCAAACCGAACCAAACCATAGCTTGCTCGCATTTCTCATAAAAAATGCTGCTTTAATCCTCAGTCTTTAAGGGGTTGAGTAAAAGTTGCAATAATAATAAATAATAATAACAATGATATTAATGTTGCATGCTGGGTTTGTGCATATTTTGTTGAATAGTTAAATGAAAAAAGTTGTATTGTGTAAATGAACTTGTCCAGAATATAGACCATTGTATATGTTACAGATTTTATTTCAAGAATTTTCAAAGGTTGTATATATTTTCTTGTAATTAACATTGGAGTTTTATGATTTTAGTCTTTTAGTCTTCTTTTTAAAGGACGCCTTTACTTTCAGATGAGTGCCAAAACAAATATGGAAATGTAAATGCATGGAAGTACTGCTGTAAAGTCTTCGATCTACTTACCATAGCAGCTGTAAGTGGCTTTACTCACTTGTCATATAAAACTTGGTTACATGCTTATCAGTGGAGTATGGAAAGACTTTTAAACAGGTTTTCATAGCTGTGCATTCATGAATAGCTGTGCTTTTGTTATACATATTAGTTTTTCAAGAGGGTTTCATATTTTTCATTTTGCACTATTTTTATTCTTAGTAGCCTTGGCTGCTCTTTATTGATCAAATGCTGATTTTTCCATAATCAGAAGACAAAATTATGATATTACATGTTTCACCTTGAAAAGTCGAGTTATTAGATAACCAGTTGTACTGGTCATAGAATTCAGTGCTCAGTGGTAGACACTTAAAAAAAAATTTGAACCCTCTTCCATTTTCCTTTAAACCCATAGGATCCGAGTGCCTTGCTGTCCACATGTGGCTTGCAGGCTCTGTTCTTATGAATTCATGTGCAGTGTCAAGACTTCTTGCCTCCCCTTTGCAATGTTATATCTTTTTTTTGCTGAAGTGCATCTCATGCATTACATTAAGTAAGATAAAGTTATTAGTTGTTTTTTTAAATATATTTTCATAATATTTTATTATCTATAATACACCTTGTGCTGTTGGTCAGTAAAAAAAAAAATCTGAACATGGAAATAATGGAAATAGTGTCTTCCCTGGTGCTTGTGCTCTTCCCATCATGGTCCACACTTGTTTACCAATGGAAATAATGCAAGAGCCCCTTTATAAATGCCCACTGAGTCTGAACACCTCGTGGCAAGTCATTCCCTTCACCCCATCCCACAGGTGAAATTTTCATAATGGTATGTTCCCGTCACCCTGGCTCTCAGTCCAGTTTTTCCAGTAACGTGTTTGTCACCTGACCCTACTGCCAAATTTGTTCATGACACAATGGCCTTGTCACTCGGATCCAAGGGATTAATTACTTTTTAATTTAAATGTATATATATATATTTTTTTTTTACACATTTTCTCTTGCAGATAATTGATGATGAAATATTATGTGTTCATGGAGGATTGTCACCAGAAATCAACACACTAGATCAGATAAGAACTATAAATCGTAATCAAGAGATTCCTCACAAAGGTAGGCTATATATACAAATTTTATGTTTGACCGAATGCTAACATGGTCGCTTTTTATTGAAGTTTTAATTTTGTGAACTGATTTATTGCTATCCTATTGTTGAATCATTCCCTGAAATTGCATCAGAATTACCGGTAACGAAACTTTACTATAAACTTGCATAACTAAAGATGAAGACAGGTCCTTTCTTTACTGATTGAGGTTCTTACAAAATTCAGGGTGTTAAGCTGCATAGTGGTTTCTCAAGTAAATTAATCATCTGAAACAATTTATGCTTAAACTTCAACCATATTTGTGTGTACTGTGTATTTCATATATTCCTTTCTATTGCTGTATCTTACAGGGGCTTTCTGTGACTTAGTATGGAGTGACCCTGAAGAAATCGAGTCATGGTCCATGTCTCCTCGAGGAGCAGGTTGGCTCTTTGGCGCCAAAGTCACCCACAAGTTTACGGAGACCAATAAGTTAAAACTCATTTGTAGAGCACATCAACTTGTCAATGAAGGTTTGTTATGTTAGGAAGTTTGACTCTCTTTTGTAATTACTTTTCTGTATATATTTTTTGTAATGTGAAACTTCTTTACATTTAGGAAAGTGGAAATAAATTGCATTTGGTAAAATTAAATACGCTTCCACTAATTATGTATACATATGATTTTAGCTGCATTACAGAAAGCTGACCGTGTAGAATTTAATAAATCCTTAATTTTTATTGTTGCAGGTATCAAGTATATGTTTGATGCTAAACTGGTCACTGTCTGGTCAGCACCAAACTACTGTTATAGAGCTGGAAATGTGGCTTCTATATTGGCCTTCACATCAGCAAATGAAAAACATGCGAAGTTGTTTGATGCCGTGCCAGATGATAAGAGAGTGATTCCTCCTGTTCATACGACTCCTTACTTCCTCTGAAGTAAGCATTAATGCTAACAAATGTGTATGTGTCATTGTCAGCATACATATTGCCCTTGCCTCCCTGTGTGAATGGTTAGTAGGTATGAATTTTCCCTTGTCCACTTTCCAGTAATTGGTTCTCATGAATGCTTTGAAATTGTTGGCTTTAATAACTTTTAAAAGTGCAGCCAGCTGCTCTGACCATAGAATTGCACATATTCACCTTGTTTTTCTGTTATGAGGATGGAGTGCATAAATAGACATTTAGGTTGGCCCAAAATTTGGCAACATATAAATGTCTACTTAGATATCATGCTACTTTTCATTGGGAAATTCTCTGCCTAAGAGTTCATGTAGACAAAGGTCTTACAGTATGACCTAAGAGGGTGGCTAACTTACCAGGTGTCTATGTAAGGCTTTACTGACGTGCCTTGATGCTTGGATCAGGAGGGATATTGACTTTTCGAGTTGTGACGGTTTGTATTGTGCCAGTTACTGTATTGAACCATTTCAGACACTTTACATTATTTTCACTTTTTATTTTTTTTATTTTTTAAAAATATATTTCCCCTTTTGCCAATTTACAATGAAATGACAATATTAGCCTACTTGAGGAATTTATTGAGCTCCTATTTATGAGGGAAGAATGTTCATTGTTACTTAATGGTGCTGATCATAATGATGCTAAGATAGGAATTTTTGTTTTGTACTTTTTTATGCTGTCAACTCCCAACGAAAAGTTTTGAGCCAGTATGCAATATCTTGTGTCATATAAGAAAATAAAAATCTTGTTGCTTTAATTGTCTGTATTCAACTGTGATTTATTGTAGATGGTTCATATTTTGTAGATCTTCAACTTGCTTCTTGTAGCCTCAGAGTAAATTATTGACAGTAAAATGATTAGTTGAGAGTGGGAACCAACTTCTGGTTTTACAGTTATTGATTTTATAGCTTGTATATAGTTAAAAGGATGGGCAGGGAATACACTGTTATGGCTCAACTGAACTGTAGTTACTGGTTAAAAAGTATTAATTGGGAGCTTCACGGTTACCTCTGCGTGATCTCTGTTTTGTGATGGTGTTAAAGGATAACTGACAGCATGTTTTTCTTTTTTTTTTCTCTTTTTTTTTTTTTTTCTCTCTTTTTCTTTTTCTTTTTTTAAAGGTGAGTTTGACAGATAAATGTCACTTGATGTTTGACAGTGATACAAGCACAAAGATATATATATATAGATACATATATATTATGGCGATCATATTTAAATATGATCTGTCTTACAGGGTCCTGCATGTTAGGCAGGTTGGGTACTTTATTGATCATTCCTTTTGTATGTAACAAGCACATTTTTGTTAGTTTCCAGAGCAGTAAGTTTCACTGTCATACACATCAGGACCTACAGTGTCTAGTTTGGTATGGTGCAACAAAAGCCTTATGTATTATTTGATTGTGGCTGTAAGTAGTTAGGTTGGCAAAGAATTTTATGTTACGTAATATGACAAAAGACATCTTGGGAAGATTTGGGTAGAGAAAGAAATGGTTAAGCAATTGTTTAATTTGTCAAATTTTCATGTTGAAGGCATTCAGAGGAAGAAAATGTCAGGTTTTTTTTATATATCAAAGACAAGTTTTATTTAGAAAGAAAGGGTAACCTCAGTACAGTTGTTTTATTCATTTGATAGGAGGCCTTATTAATTCTGCCTTTATGAAGAATTTGTAGGAAATCATGTTATTACAGCATTACATGCTAAAACCTAACAGCTGTTGTATGATAATCTCAAGTGAATTTAGCTAAATAGTAAATGAAGAGCATGTGTGCTTAAGAAAGAATAATAATGTTTCCTGGTGACAAGAGGAGTCATTTATATGCATTGTTGGCCCCAAATCATACAGTGTAAACCATAGCATTTTAATTACTTATATTGTTAGTTACTTGTTATGTTGCTGGGTGTAGTAGTGTTAGAGTTGTCAAACAGATAGATGTCAGTTACCCTCTAAGACCCCCACACACTTTTAATTTAGACGGAGATGTATCATCAACTGACTGTTACTGTGATGTCAACATTACCTGTGTATTCTAGTTATACTCAACATATTCCCAAACCCAACAGTAGTCTGTGATTGTCGGAAGGCATATTAAACAAACGTTCGTGATACAAAAATTTCTTAATAAAAGCTTTTGATATGCTCTTGAAACTTTTCTTCATTCACACCTTTGTTAATGTGGAGTATGTAAAGCTTGTATTAATTACAGATTTTTAATATTTTATTTTGTAGCCTAAGGGATGAAGGCACAAGAGGTACAAAATACTTTTTTTTCTTGTAGGGAACCAAAGACAGAAACATATGGCAATGACAACTTTCAGAGGAGTCTAAGACCTATTTATATGCATGGTACTCTCATTGTTATTGTTCTCTGGGATGTGTTGATAAAAGTTTGGTCTCTTGTTTGACAGTTGTATAAATGCAGATATTTATGGATGTAATTTTATTTTCTGGGTTCAGTTGTTCCTGTATCATTGTTTATAATAAAATTGGATAAAAAGTTATGGACTTGTTCACAGATTTAGCATTTTCATTTATTTTTTTTTTTCTTTTTCTTTTTCTTTTTCAAATTGTTAGTAGTGCTTTGAAACACCTTTCACATTTGGCATGGTACTGAGAACAGGTTTTGAAATGAACATCATCAACAGAACTCTACAATGAGTGACATTTAGTTTTTGCTGAAAGGTATTTTATGTAGTCTTAGCCATGTAGTCTCTGTTGCCATATAGCAACTATAGGTCTCAGTTGTATTTCACTCTTAATTTGTATGTTCCTATACCAAAATAATCCTGTGATGAAGATTCTGATTGTGGCTAGAATAAACATCTGTAAATACTATGAACAATCCAGAAAATATCCCTCAGAGTGTAAAAATCTTATGTAAAATAAAATGGTTTCCAGATAGCTTTTTATTTTTCTTTGTTAATCCTATAGAGAAAGTCTTCCTTTTTTGCTGATTATTTGCATGCAGCCAGTGGTGTACTTTCAATCTCTCAAAGAGATGTTGCAAGTAAAATGTATAAAGAAATTCTGTAAATGTCATTCTGAAACATCTGATAGCATGTCAGTATTTCCTAAAATAAACAAGGAGAAATGGCTGGGAAAATGAGGAGTTAATAGAGTGCATTCTGAAGGTTCACAAAGGCATTTTACTTGAATGACACCCCTCCGTGCAATCCCTTGCTTGATGATGATGATGATGATTGTGTGTTGTTGTGGGGGGGGGGGATGATGATTGAGACCCTCCTCCTCATCCCCTTGTTCTGTCCACTTTCAAAGGTGTGAGAGCTGTGATGAAAGGATGAAAGGCTGGCTTTGTGTCAGTCATGAATGCCCTCCGGGGGCCATGGGCACAGTATTCCTTGAGGGGTAGACTGGATTACATTGCGGTCACTTCATGGGAAAACTTGAGCCAAGGGATGGGTGAAGTGAATATGCTGTCATAGGGCAAACTAGCCATGGCCCGGATGACATGAACATGCCCATCATTAGCGAAGGCTAATACCATTTGGAGGAAATCAAAAGATAAATATATAAAGTAACTTTGTGAAGGGGAGGCACAAAGTCTTCTCACTGCTCATGGGTGTTAGCACACGCCTGGAATGTTGGCCACTTACTTAACCCATTGCCCGGGTTTTCGGCAGCGTGATTTCCGTGTTGCAATTGGATCCAAAGGGTTAAAGCTTGCCCCTTCATCAACTATCCTATCTACATTAGATTTCATTCGTTCCCTGACCCGTGCCTTTCCTCTGACCACGGATGTGACCGCTGATACTAATACTCCCTCCTTGATATTTACTGACAACTCTTATCCATTCCAAACCATCCACCCAGGTCATTACACAACCTCCAGAATACACCCCTTCTTCTCTCCCAAAATCCTCCACTCCATCTACTGTAGTTTTCTTCATTGTCTACTGCCTACCCCCTTATTACTGCTCTTCATCCTTGTCCTCTCCCCAGAGTACTACCTCATTTCATACTACCCCATCCATCTTTCACCTTACCACCTCCTGTTACTGTTTCCACCTCTACTAAAGTTTTGAGTACTTTCTTTGGTCCAGCCAAGTGGGATTGATTCTTTGTTATTCCCCTTACAACTCTGACAATACCCTTCTCATCCAACAATATCTCAAAAAGCAAAACAGGCAAAAGTTTCCTTTCGCAGTTCCGATTGTTTACACCTTGTTGCTATTACATCCGAGTCTCAAGCTTGTACACTATCTACCTTGAAAGACCTCAATGGCAAATCTATTCCTGCCCAACTTCACTCTTTTCTTAATATTTGTACTGGAACTGTTTCCATTACTCTCACTGATTGTCCTGTCTATGACAAGAACTGGTCAGACTGAAAATGACCTGCTTGCCTGCTTTGTTGACTATGATGCAGTGGCAGTACAATGCTATACTATTTTTACCACAGGGCAGTGTAAATCCTATACCAATATTGCAAAGATTAGCTTTCGTCGACATGACCTCCTCCACGAAGTTAAATTGGTGGAGGGTCCTACCCTGTCTAACCATATCAATCCCTTAAT